TGCCATCCATTTTCGCCCACGGCGGCCTCGCAGCAGGCGCTTGCGCAGCCCGCTGTGGGCGAGACCACCGAGCCGGAGCAGGAGCTCGCGAAGGCCGAGGCAGCGAAGCGTGCGGCGCAGGCAGCGGTGGAGGCCGAGCGGCAGACGGAGGCCGAGCGGCTGAAGGCGCAGGCGGAGAAGTCCACAGCCGCTTGGGGTGCATGGAAGAGGTTCGCCTTGGGAAGAGGGCGGGAGACGCGCTTTGGAAGTACCTGGAGCCTCCAAAGTACACAGTAGAAATGAGTCTATACATTAATATTAGGGTAGTACTACCATGAACTCGAAGAGCAATACCAATGAATCCATGAAAATCCAGGTCCCTAAGTTGGTCTTTTACATGTTTTTGCTTATTTTCGGTCATGCCATCCTGGTGGAACATCATGGAACAGCTCCATTCCTAGGCTTCCTTCCATTCCTAGGCGAGTGTCGCCCAGGTCCAAAGACCTTCTGAGTATGCATGTGGTACGTTGGGAGGTTAGGGTCTAAGTACCTTCTGCGCGCGGTTACTTTGGAGCTTTGGGGTTTGGCAACGTGCTGGCCATGTGTCTCATTTCAATGGCGCCTTTCGATCTGTTGCAAGCAAAAAGCATGGTTCACCGAGAGAAACCGACTTTACGAGGCCCCAGTAGACCACCAGCTTTGGAATGTTAAATAGATCCCAGACACTCCATGGGACTGCCATTATATGCCACCCCATTGACCCTTGCACCACCCCGAACGCCCGTTTCTCGGCAGTTCGTTTCTCGGCAGTCCCAGGTCCGGGTCGTGTTTGGCCACTGATTCTCTACACCGGACACCGAGACTTCACATCGAGACCCTCTGAGGGTGCAGCGGTTCGGGTGTTCGGGGTGCGGGTGCGAAGCCATGACCCTTTTCACCCCATCTCCACGTGGTCATCAAACCCGCGTTTTCTGCGCCCAGGTCATCAAACCAGAGGCGGTGGCAGAGGCAGCGGCCAAGGCACAGGCGGATGAGCCACTTGGAGCGGAGTGAAGAATGAGAAAGAACAAGGAGGTGCTGACATGTCGCGAGCATGAGTGATTTCTGGCGCCTAATGGTTGGACATCGAACCCCTGCATGGGCCAACTTCAGAATTCTGTGGATCCATGGTTTCAGAGAGGGGTGATTCATATCATGCGACAGGCTGAATTTTCAGGTGTCCAAAATGCCCACACACTCCATGGGACTGGAATGTATGCCGGAATGGGCTAGGCAAAGATGGCATACATGGAGTGTCAATCTTCCATGCTCTAGGGATCCATAGGTTTTTGGAGGGGGGCCCAAACCCCTGCTAGAGTCGAATTCATGTTGGACCCCTGCTAGAGTCGAATTCCAACAGATTCGACTCTATCAGGGGTACTTCTCGTATGTCTACGTGGATTTTTGGGCAGCATGCACTCACCGCTCACACAGTCCAAGGCAGGCACAGGCAGAGGCAGCCAAGGCCTTTGCTGCGGAGATGAAGATGTCGCGGCCGCTCTGGCACATAACCGGGAGCGGGAACACAAACCCATACTGTAAGGAAGGTGCTGATATGTGCTGGTAAATGGAGTCCCTCAAAACTCTTGGCTCAAATCCCAGAGGCTGCCTTCGGCCATAAGACATTTTGTGGAAATTAATGTTACAAGACATGTCCATATATTATGCTGCCCACTGCTCAAACAAAGAACACAGCGGATTCTAGTTGTTGGATGTTGTTATTATTTCAACCCCAATCTATGATGTGACCGAGCACAGCGTTTGGCGTGACATCACGGATAACTCTCCTGAGACTTTGCGGGGCTTCCGCATCCAACGCGTTGCTGTTCTTGTCAGACACCAGGGTCAATGGCCGTGCATTTGCTTTTGGGATCTTCTGGGCAAACAGCTTCCCAGTGGTTGCCCAGTCAATGTTGAGCAAGCTTCCTTTTCCAACAAGACACCAAGGTCAGGGCAGTTCATCATAGCGGCACTCCGAAAATATCATCCATGGAAACCGTGGAGTGAACCACCACCCTTAGTATTCAGAAAATGCTCATCCGAACTGCGGGGCCAGGCCAGGCCCATGATGATTCCGGGGATGTGTATCTTCAGTATCTTCAATGAACTGGCCCCCCCGGGCCGTCCAGACGTCCTCCTCAGACGTCCTTGGGCACTCAGGAACATCGCGCGGGCGTTGGTACCTGAACAGGGCCCAGAGGCAGACCCGTCGCCGCAAGAATGCTTCCAGTGGCCAACACCTGACAGTCTGAAGTTCTTCCCATGGAAACCGCTATAGAGTCGGTACTATGGAAGATGCGCCTTCTTCGCTCAGAGTCGGTCCTTGAGCAACGTCGACGTGAGTTTCTGGGTGAATCATGACAGCTGCGAGTCGCTTCCATTCTCACATCTTCGTTCGGCTCTCACAGGCGGCCGCCATCGTAAACCTCAACTCTGAGGACGGCCTGGTTGGCCTTCAGACGGGTGTTTCCCACTGGACCCCAGTGGCTCCAAGTAGGGAACCGGGCTGGATCAGGCCTGGTTGCCGAATCAAACGTTTGTGGAGTTCCTATAGATCCACTGCGGAATGGTGCATATTGCGATGCTTCAGCACGGGGTGTGAGAGGAGCAGGAAGTCAATTTTGGTGGGATTTTGCTGGTTGGTCTACTGGCGTATGGAACTGATCTAATCATGCAATCGAGCACGTTAGATACAGTGTGGAAGACTAACATGGACCCCGCAAACTTCAGGGTGCCATTCTCTTCAGGGTCCAGTTTTGTGGGGAGCGACCACGGCGACCACCCCCTCCGAAGCCACGTGCCTGCAACCTCCTCCCAGGAGACGCGCGACGTGCGCGAGAAGGCCATGCCCAAAGCGCCGGAGGAGCAGCCGGCCGACAGCCCGCCGCGGCCAGGGCAGAAGCGGAAGCAGGTGAGTGAGGGCGACGTGGAGAAGCGGGAGACCTGGCAGGTTCGGTGGCGAAGAGCCCCTCAGAGTTCCATGGAATGGTTAGGATATTCGCCTACATTCTGGCCGTACATGAGGTATATAACAACATAGATGCCAATCAATTGGGGTGATGTTCAAGATGTTATCAGGGTTTGGTAGGTATGCACCACTCCACTGATGCGGAAAATCATTGATTCCAGGGGCCATGCCATCATATGCCATATACGGAAGCGGGATGAAGTGGGGATCACACAATTGAAGTTTTATGGATTTGGTGACATCCCAAACACTCAGGGCCCAGTGGATGATGGGGCTGGTTGCAAGCCAACATCCATACAGGTTCGCTGGTTGTGACACTGACACTCACCGATGCATGTTCGGACTGGGCTCGGCGAGTGACGAACCGAGTGGAGAGCCTTGGCGCCGTGGGCACCGAAAGGTTTCAGTGCCCCTCGGGACGAGCGCCTGACCGAACCCATATGCTACTGGATGCAAGGGCCCGTTGACATACAGTGGTTTCAGGGCCCAGAGGTGGTTGATATCGGCTCCCCATGAGTCTAAGACCTCTTGGGGTGCCTACTTTGAAACCACTGTAGTTGGTTCGGTTCCCCATGAAAAGCGCAATCACGTCCGACTGGATCCTTTCTTCATGTCAATCGGGCCGCTGGGCATGGCGAAGACCCGTTTCCGCGGAACCTCGGCTGACCGGGCTCCGTGTCCAAGGAAAAGATCAGCCGCCTGACCGATCTCTGCAACTCTCTTCTGGAGAGAGGAGTTCCTTCGCACAAACAGCCGAACCCAGAGGAGTTCCAATGGGACTGGAATGGTCAATATGTCGCATAAACCTCTATGTATGACCCTATGATGCATGTAACTAGTCCAGTCCCTT